TTAATTCTATGTTCGTGTTGAATTAACTTGACCTCATGGCAAGGGGTATCCAATGAACACAGTTTTTTCATTCAAATTGTATGACATGGTGGTAACGATCGAACTGTAGGGTAACTTGTGTCGTCAATAAAAAGCATTATTTCGCACAAGTATCTAAATCTAACGTGTTTTCTTGCGAAATAGCAATCTGAAATGGATGCTGTTAATGTTTTGCACTACGTGGAGAGCATCCTGTTTGAAAGAAAGATCGAATATGTGATTGGCACCAAAAAATCTCAAAATGGCGAAAAATTTGGAACGCTTCACGAATTTGCGTGTCATCCTTGCGCAGGGGCCATGCTAATCTTCTCTGTATTGTTCCAATTTTAGTATATGTTCATCGGAATGAACGTAGATATTGTCACATAACCTACTTATATAAGAACTTGTTATCTTTGAATGCAACGGCAATTCGGTGAGATTAGAGAAATAGACAGTTTATATCATACGTTCATATGATTAACAAAAATACAGTAGGATTAGATGCTATGATAACTTTGTTTTGCAGTTCAAACTCCTATTATATAACCATATCTTAAGAATTTCTCAATATTCTTTTATTCCTTTCAATTCTTCAAATGGTTGGCTCTATTTTGGAGTGGTTTTCAGACAGACAGAATACATTGTTTCATCTTGTACAACTCAAACAGACTTTGATTGACTCTGACTGAATTGATTATTCCCAAAATTTTATCGCATGAAATGTTAGAGTCTGATTGAAACTTGATGCTTATCACCATGACATCAAAATCAAACTGCAGCTAGTTTACAGAGAAAAAATTTTGTTTCGATTCTTGTTTGAGGTTGTTGGTTCGAAATCAGTTTGCGTTCTTGTATCAGCACTTGTCGTAATTTTATTAACAGGAAGACAACTGAAAATTAGCTAGATTTTCTTGTAAATATTGGTTAGAGGATCTCTTCAGTAGTATAATGTGAATGCCTGTGACAGGTTGCGGGCACTTGATCGCGTAATACATTTTTATGATATGATTTTTAGACAAGAAGTGAGACGGTGATGTTTTATGAATGTTTTTATTGTATTGAAAAATGATAATTCGCAGTTCAATTGACATCGTTGCAATTTTAAAATTTCTCTTTTATTTTATCATTATTAAAGAGTTGCCTTATTGTTGTTGAATTTACTTCTGTCTTTTATAACGCATCTAAATTCCAATAAGTTGAATGCAACAATTTATTTACGATTAGTTGTAAACTTTATTATTTTTAATTTATGTGGCAACATGGTTCTCACCTCACCAATGATAACCAGAGAAATCAAGTTCATATGGTGTTTATTGTTCACTTACTTTATTATACCTTATGATGTATTGTAGAAATACTCTGTAATTGTTCTGACATCGACAAAAATTGATAACTGTGAGGCCTGAGGAGGGTTGTAACGTAACAATTTTGATAGAGCGATCTCGTAATTTGGCGAATGAGGCTCGCACATTGGACTTAATATCAGTACTCCATTTGCAAAATGCGTTTAGTATTACGATGGATAGAGGATGACGATAGGGCTCGGTAGAGAGTGATGCCCACCATCGTTTTGTCAAGGCAGCGAATTTATTGGACTGGATGAATCATTAATGGCTGAAGGCAACTACGAACTCAAGCAATTATCGATGGATGGTCCTGACAAAAATTATGAGTATGCTGAGTTCGAAGGAGATCGTAAGCTGAGAGTGGTTGATTACGTTCTGGTCTATGAAATGAAGGTAACTACTTCAAATATATCATCGTTTCAAACATTAGATTTGTTCAGTGTCGCAGTGACAGAGTCACGAGTGAATTTTACAAACAGGAGAAATGCTACTAGGATAAGTAATAGATGTAATGAATGGACACAATGAAAACGGTTATTTTTAACATATCAGTGATATTCTAGGATAGTGAAGACTCGAACGAACAGCATAATGAAACTGGAACAAAGGAGTGGAGAAGAGAAGCCTATGAAAAGAATTTAGAGGAAACAGGTCTGGAACTGGAACGCCGTAAGGGAATTGTTAGTTGTTGTTGTTATTGTTTCATTGGTGAACTTGGAAGTGTGCAAGCATTTGTGGTTTTGCAGTTTGGGAATGATTCAGATGGTTTCAGTGAAGGAATGAGTATCTTTCTGATTCATTCATCTCAAATTGATTATCCATGTATATTGTCTCGATTTCAGTTTTGTAGCAACGCATGCTTCACGTTGGTGCATGCTCCATTCGACCTGTTAATGAGACAAGCCGAGGCGATGGGCATTAAAATGCCTTTTCAAGAGGACAATATCCAGAAAAATGTTCGTTTATTATACCTCCCTTCTGTCTTGTCATCTTCTCTCGGTTGCAATAGCAACAACGCAGTTCCACTGTTACATGCTGGGCATCGCAAGAGTTTTGTTAGCCAATCATTCGGCAAATATTTGACTGATCAGCTTGTAAGCATTGAAATAGTTGATTCTAGACTGGATATTTTCAGGAAAGGATGGTAAAAATGGGCTGCATAGATAGATACTACGATCGTTTGAAGTTTCTCAAATTTGACGAAGGAATATCTAAGCAACTCGAAGGGCGACACTTTTTTACGAGACCATTCATCAAGGAACGACTCGAAACGTTCAGTATTCAATTCATTTCTTTCAATATTGTTTGCCTTCAGTTATCAAGTAATCGGAGTCTCACCTCACTGAATTACTCAAATGATTCGATTGCTTATAGTTCAGTTTGCTCCTATAAAATAAAATTTTTGTAATGATGTGAATGAGAATTCTATGATTTCAGTTATGTAGGGCATGAGCATCATGATACATTTTTTGAAAGTGCTGAACGAAGTCGAATGGTTTATGATTTGTTATTGCGTACAAAATATGGAGACGAGAAACGCCAGGTGCAGCCTTTCGTTATTGATGAGATTGATAAAAAATAATCGTTTGCGTTATCTTGGATCTATTATAACATTATAAGTTCATACTGTTCAGAAGGACGTATAAAAGAGCCCTTATCGAGATTTTTAATGGTGAATTCGATAGATCGAGTTTGTTAGGTGTCATTTGCAAAGAATCAGTTTGTTACACCTCTAGTTTGTCATCTTATGGCATTCGAGTTTAGAGAATGAGGCTGAGCAATAAGCAGTTTCATTCAGAAATATTGCAGGTTGGAATTGCAAAACTGCTCAGTAATGGTACTTATACAGCTGCATATCCTCTGCATCTGCATCTGGTTTGAACGTTTTCTTTTGTTAACGAGCTCATCTCTTCGTGATGTGATTTTATCAAAACTCATTATGCCATTCGTTCGCTGGCATCCGAGAATTTCTCTAATTGCTAACAATAAGTGTTGCCTATACCGATTGATTATTATTCCATTTCAACAGATATTTTGATGTTCATAACTGGAAGTGCAATGTGATCATATTGCAGTCACGTGATAAGTCAAACAAGAATGATCGGGAAATGCTCTATTGGTATTGGTGTAAACAATATTTCAAGAATCAACCACTCTTATTAGTGAAGTTCGTCTGAAAACTTTTATTTTAGTTGATGGTTGATTACGTCAACACGATACACTTGTCTTAGCTTGATGAATGCTAAAAAAAAAAAATATATAAAATATATATGTATCTGAAAGACATTGCTAGCATTTTTGCTTCATATGCACGATTTTGCAAAAGGGTTGCCTTAGGCGCCATATCGAACTACCATCTGTGGTTCTAGATGCGCGTCAGCTTAATGCTTATCAAGTCGATGATCAGTGTCTTTCAGAAAATACTTCGGCGCGAAGATTGCCATGTATTTTGCGTGGCTTGGCTTCTATACGATGATTTTATATCCAGCCGCAATTCTGGGTATTCTTTGTACACTCTATGGACTGTTCACTGTTAACCGTGACATACCAAGGTAATGCTGATTCATCAATAAAGCATTCTTTGCAATGACGAGAATAACGCGCAATTGAATTGAACTGGCTTTTGGTTCTAGCAACGACATATGTGCAAGTGACGGAATTGGTGCAGAAGTGATGATGTGCCCAAATTGTTATCTGTTATGTTCTTTTACATCACTCAGCGCAAGTTGTTTTTATACGAAGGTTCAGTTTTACTTTTTTTTATTTCGCATGGTTATGAAGTGTGCGGAAAATGGTGAATTCGCCATTATAGGTCACGTACGTATTCGACAACTATGGGACTGTAGTGTTCGCTGCATTAATGAGTATATTTTCGACGTTATTTCTGGAACTTTGGAAGCGATATCATGCAGACATTTCATGGAAATGGGGACTTCTCGATTTCGAAGTTGATGAGGTATCGTTTTGAGTTATGGTGGCGGCGGTCAGCCTTGGTTATTGCCTTTGAAATCACGAAACAGAAAATGAGAGTTAGAAGTGTATTCATAGAGTTCATACCAAAGCGGTGGTATATNACTGTCGCGATTTACTATATCTGGACTGACTGTTTTCACATTCGTTGGTTTTCGTATGTCTTCTCGTTGGATCTCATTTCAACCGGTGATATTCTTATTTGCAGTTGGTTGTGGTGATTGCCATCGTTTTTGGTGTGATAATATATCGAGCAATTGTTTCAACAGTGATGTATAGAAAGGATGACATGAAGCGATACGCGTCATTTTTAGCATTTTCAACGGCTGCTGTCATAAATCTGGCCGTCATCTTAATCCTCAGTCAAGTATGTTTGTTGAGTTTGATCGGTTGCTTGTGCCGATAGTCGTTTCATCATTCAGATTCGTATTTGAACTGACTTTAATTCTATCAAAATGGCAGTTGATATCGTGGAATGAGCGATATTCGTTTTAAGGTGTACACTTACATTGCTAAAAAATTAACTGATTGGGAATGTCATCAATACCAGTCCACGTACGACAATAGCTATACATTAAAAGTTTACTTATTTCAATTCTTCAATTATTATTCATCCATCTTCTATATTGCGTTCATCAAGGGCAAGTAAGCNTCATTATTATTATTATTTCGTTTAAATTACTTATAAATATTCATTTATAAGTGTATCAGTTATATTATCATTTATAAATACTTTGACAAAATATGACACTATTGATTATTTTCATCAATTCTTTATTCATTTTTGTACTCTCACTGTTTCTTGATAATTACTCGGTAAATTATACGTGCTTGTTTCATTTCTCGAGTTCGTTATATTTTTGTTCTTTGGAATGCGTCAGTGAGTTCAGCAACTGCGCTCTCGTCCACCGTACGAGAAAACGGTTCTGAATTAAATTGCCTTCGTTGAGCATGTTCTCGCAAACGAAGTACGTGTTCCAGTATATCAAAAGAACCAACTGGGGGTTTTTTGGGTATGAAACCAGAAGAGTGTGATGCGGCCGGGTGCATGGTAGAGTTGGTCATACAGTTGGCCATCATTATGGTTGGAAAACAATTGTGGAACTTCTTTTCTGAGACCTATTCGACGTGAGTTTTTCGTTTTCTGAGACCTATTCGACGTGAGTTTTTCGTTATCAGTGTGATTGACGCATGTCCAAATAATTTTGCTTTAGTGTCACATGAAGTCATTTTATTCAACTAATTAAGTATTACAGCACGTGTAAACGGAACTTCTCAACCAGACATTTTAATACATTGGTGAATGTGGTGGGTTTTGTGGAAAGCGCTCTGTTTTCTGTTTAGAAATATCCAGTATCCACGAATGTCTTGTGTTTTAGCTAAAATAAATGAAAAAAAATTAATGGATTTGTTCGTTCATTTAGTTGTTGTGAATGCACTGATAGTTAGGGGATCATAATTGAATAGCGGTAATAGACGGTGGATATGCAGGAAAATAATGAACAAGATTCGACAGTGGCAACTGTGGATACCACAAACTAAAAAAAACAAGATGGAACTGAATCGATTGGAGAAACGACTTAAGATGCAGGAATCGACCGAAGCGAAGAGTTGGGAGCAAGATTATGTATTGACTCCTGTCACTGAACTGTTTCTTTTCGATGAATACCTTGAAATGGGTTCGTTTACATCCCTCTGCACCCTTCCGAATGTTTACAAATTCTTCTTGACAGAATAATTTGATAGATGTGAAATTGAAATTGTTTCTGATACATCAGGCAGGATTCACTTATTGAGTAGTGTTAACGTCTATCCGTTTTGTCTCGCATGAGTTGTTTGTTTTCGATTCACAACCTATCCATTGCAGGTAGTTGTTGCAAATAACCTATTATTAATTACCGTTTGATAAGATTTACCCATGAGAATGTTATTATCTTAATATCAGTGATGATTTCATTTCAGTGATTCAGTTTGGTTTCGTTTCCCTTTTTGTATCTGCTTTTCCGCTGGCACCACTTTTTGCCCTGGTCAACAATATTTTCGAGATTCGTACTGATGCTCAAAAGTATCTGGTCGATACACAACGTCCAAATCCACAACACGCCAAAGATATTGGCATATGGCTGACAATCTTGAACACGATAAGTCAAGTGGCTGTACTCAGCAACGTGTGTTGTTTATTCGTGCTTACTGCTTTAAATTCAAAACAGCGAACGTAGTATTTAACATGCTCGGTAACCGAATGCTTCGTTCACTCTAACTGTCAACTTACAGGCTTCTATTATCGCGTTCACAAGTGATTTTATACCGAAACTGGTCTATCGCACCGTCTATAATCATGAGAATTTGTATGGCTATGTGAATAATTCGCTGTCATATTATGATGCTACAGCAATTGAATCTTCAACTCATTTCGTAACAAACATAACAGTGTGCCGGTAAGAATTCACTTTTATGTGTAGCAGTGCGGAATATAAATTCTTGAAACTGGAGATATTTGGTCGAACGAATGTTGCATAATGAAACTTTTGTGGGTCAACTTTCTTCATGTGATAATTAATTAATTAATTAATCAGTTATTTTAAGTTCAATAATCACTCGAGTTATTTTGCTGACATCTTGATATGTGATTTATGAAAGGATAAATGCTTGAGGTATCGTGATTATCGTTATCCACCGTGCAGTGTCGTGCATACAGATGATTGTGCGGCTAGCGAGTATACTCGTACCGAACAGTGGTGGATCGTTCTCACGTTTCGATTGGTTTTTGTTTTGCTGTTCGTGGTACGCCTCCGGTCTTTTGCTCTTAGTGGTGCAATCTTTTCGCATTTCTTTGTTTTGCTCGTTGATCGTAATTTTATTTCAAAATTCTGTGAGGATTTGCTATTGAAGATTGTTATATCGGCCATCAAAATGTTCATAGCATCAATAATCCCGGACATGCCATCAAGAGTCTCGAAACAGTTACACAGACAACGCTCTGAAGTTCGTAAACAATGTTTCACTTCAGCGAGAAGAGATGTGTCAACAGATTATGAACGGTTGCTGTATGTCGTTTTTGTTTGAATAATGCTTTTGATATGTGGAAGTTTTGAACTTTTCTTTATTTCGTGTTCTTTGTTGTCTTTGGTGAACGCGAAAGCAACCTGAAATATTTCAGTAAGCCTCGATCACGGTCACCTGATCATTATGAACCCGAGAAAACCGCAGAAACGAATCTTTCCGATGAAATATCATTTCATTCGTGCAGCGAGATCACCCCATCGAACTCGGTCGTTGAACACACACTGCGCACAGAAGAAGTTGATGCGAAACTGACCTTGCTATTTAGTAGCACTTAAATTTGTACTCTCCAACTGCTTTTTCAAACAGTTTTCATAACTTGCATGCGGCTTAAACTTAAAATGATTCATTATAGTTTATGGTTTTTATTTATGTCTGTTGAACTGATCGGAATAATTTCTTTGATTGTATTTGTAATAAACGTTTCCTTATTGTCAAG